GGGTGGTATTGAATGTGGTGGTGGTGGAGGTGGTGTTGCAGGTGGTGCTGGGAGTGGTGTTAGGTCTTTGGATTATGAGGGTCTGAGGCTGGCTCAGGTGGGGCATGTACTATGTTCACACACACAGATGGCAAGTGAAGAGTGGGGTCATGAGAAGTGTCCTGATGACCACAACTCCCATTTACTGAGCACTTGCTCTCTGCCAGGCACGGGGCTGTAAGCCCTGACACATGGCATTCCAGCACTCTGGAGAATCCTCACTGTAGCCCACAAGGAGGGCTCTCCTAGGACTCCTGCTGAACAGAGCCAAGTGGGAGGTGAAGGGGTTGCCAGGGTCGTGGAGCTGGGGAGGGCTGGGCCTTAGATTCGAAGCAGGCAGCCTGACCCCTGCACTGGGCTCCAGTGGGCTGTGGGCATGAGTGTTCGTGTGCACACGTGTGCATGTGTGAGTGTGAAAACGCACGTAACAGACAGCCCAAATAACTAGCTTCAACTCAGCAGACATTTATTTCCCTCCCAGGTAAGGGCACCCCGAGGTAGGCAGTGCCTTCTGTCAGCAGCAAGCCAGGCCCCTCTCATCACGCTGCCCTGCCGTGCTCAGTGCTGCCTCATGGTGCAAAGTGGTTGCTGAGCTCCAGTCACCACTTCAGCCAGCAGGAAGGAGGAAGGGGAAGGAGAAAGACGTGACCTCACCATCTAGGGCATTTACCTTCCGACCCCCAGCTAGGCATTGTGGGTTTTCTTACTAAGGAAAAGGAGAGAACAGCTAGCGGAGGCCTCCCACTGCCCGCCGGGATGAGCTCGGCAGGCAGGACAGGACTCTGGGCTTCCCGGTTCATCGAGTGGTGTTCGTGGAGTCCCGGTTCATGGAGTGTTGAACTGGTGGGGATTAGGGGTTCTTTAAGTCTCACTGTACTTCTCAGACGGGGAAACTGATACCCAAGTCAGTGGCTGAGCTGTGGCCCAGGCTGGGCCTCTGCCTGCTGTCCCAGAGCTCTGTCCTGGCACCAGCTGCTGGTGAAGCCAGGACTTGGAGCAGTCACCAGCCCTGCCAGAGGACCCTGGGGACCCCCCCCATAATGAGCCGCCCACCTTCCCGGCTCTGCTACCCAGTCCTGCTGCTTCTGCAGGAAGCTGAAGGCCCATTTTGCCCCCTCCCTAGCACAGGGTAGCCTGTCTGACACCCCCAGACTCCTCCATGACACCCACCAGGCTGAGGGCCTGGGGGCTGGAGTCTAGAGGGCAGGCAAGGATGAGGCTGGAAAAATTTCATCTCATCTACTCCTCTCCTTTCATCAACTCCACTCCTCCACTGCTCTAGCCTGCTCCAGCCTCTGCTAGAGCAGAGACAGGTATTCCCAGCCTCAGGTGCTGTCAGTACCAGTAGGTACTGACCCTTGATGGTCACTTCAAGGTGACAGGCACCCACCCAGCATCCGGCCCTTCCCCATCCAAGGCTGCAAGGTAACTTTCCAAGCCAGGGTCTCCCATGGCAGTGCTCATGCCATAGCCAGACAGGCTCCGCTGGCCCCATCCTCTCCATACTTGGTGCCTGTCCCCCCAGCCCCGCACTGCCCCTCCGCGTGTGGCCTCACCCCAACCCGCCTCCCTGTGCCCGCTCATCCTCAGCCGGCCTCCCCTACTATCCTGCCTCCCCCAGGCCCATCTTTCCTAGGGGTGACTATAGCCTCCCTCCAAGGCCTCTTCCCTCCAGACAGCCGGGAGGCTGACCTGGGGAAAGGCAGGGCGGGCCGGTGTGACCACTGCAGATGGAGGAATTCCTGTGGCAGAAGTTAAGGGTGAGGATTGGGTGTGGGGGCCCCCAGGCATGTGGTGGGTATCATCTCTGCCTGGCTGTGCTGGTGGGGATCCCCAACCCCCATGAGGGTTGCAGGCCCTGGGGCGTGGTGGCCAAGGTCTGGACCCAGCGCCCACGTGCGGCAGTCCTGCCACTCACAGGCGGTGGGGAGAGGAAACCAAGGGCAAAGCCGGGAACTGAGGAAGCAACCGGGCCGGCGGGGCTGTGCTGGCTGGATCGCCCAAGACACTCCAAATTCATTCTCCAAAGCTGGTGCAAGGGCAGGAGGGGAAGGTACCAGACAGAGTGCTGGCAGGGCGAGGGGTGAGTTGGGTGGGGGTGGGGAGGGGCTGTGGGTCAGGGTCTCCCGGCCCCCATTGCTCCAAGGCCAGCGAGGAGGTTGAGCAGGAGGGCTGTGCCTGCAGTTTCGCAGCTGCCCCGGGGGCCGCCTGCCCCCTTGCCTGGTGGGTCCTGGACTCGGGAGCTCTGCCAGGGTGGGACATTGCACAGGTTGAACTGGCAGCAGGTTGTGGTCACCTGGGTCCCCTCGACCGTCTTGGTGATGGGCTGGCAGTTGTCTGTACACCACGCAGAGTGGGTGGTCAGGAGGCCTGACTCTGGGGAGGGGAGTGGGGAACAGAGGCTGAGGATGGGCGGGGCCTCCAAGGTGGCTCTACAGGGCTCTGTTCAGGGCCCCTGGCTTTCCCGCCACCTGGGGGTGCGTGTGCTGCGTGTGCTGCGGCCCCACGCCCACTTACCGGTGTTCCCGTGGGCAATGAGGGTTGTGCAGGCCTGGCCATGTGAGCAGCTCCGTGTCAGGTTGCAGTGCTCGTCCCTGGACAGGGACTGGCAGGTATAGCACCACAGCAGCACTGTGGACAAGGTGGGCTCAGGCCCAGGCCGGGTCCATGTCCCTATCCACCTCCCCATTCTCAGTTGTGCTCCCAAAGCCTAGCCTGGTGAGCCTCCAGCACCCACTGCTCAGACGGGCGGGCCACCCCTGACTCGGCCCTGTAAGCCGTGCTGTGTGCGTGAGCCTGTGTGTTTAGGGGCAAGGGATTGCGGCCCAGGCAGGGCGAACTTCCCATCGTCGCTCACCTCCTGTGACAGTGCTGCCCAGGCTCCTGCTGTGGGCATGGAAACCTGGAGGCGAGTCTGACTCAGTCCTGCCTCTGGGAGCACCGGGCCTCACAGAGGAGGGCCTCACAGGGGACACCTTGTGGGTGTGTGGGGCAGGGCTTGTGCTGAGGGCAGGCCTGGGGGCCCTGGGAGTAGGGGTGGGCTGTGTGTGGTGGGCACGCTGGACGCCCTGGCTAGGGAGTGGTCGGCTCGCAGGTTGGATGCGGCGATTAGCTCTGCTTTGTTCTGGGGATGGGAGAGAGCAGAGGGTGGCCCAGCGTGTAGGGGTGTGTCGGACGGCGGGGGTGGGCTCTTATTAGCCCCACTCTGCTCTGCTCTAAGCGCTTCCCTGGTTCCCCTGCCTGCAGCAGCCAATCCATCTCTCCCCTGCACAGGACCGGCCCACCCTGCTGCTCTCTCTGCCCCACAAAACTGAACCCTACCCTGGGGCCTCTGTGCTTGCTGTCTCCACCCTGGGCCCCTACTGAGCCCTTCTCTGCCAGGTGAACTCCTGTTTAACCTCTACATCCTGGCACCACTGACCCTCCCAGCTGGTGGCTTCTTCCCCTGTTCCCTACTCTGGAACTGGGTGTCATGGTGAGTGGAAGAAGTGAGGGGTGTACTGAGTGTCCCCCACTCTGCTGGAGGCAAGCTCATAGCGGGACTGTGGCCTGTTGGCTTTCATCACACAGCCCCGCCCAGAGTGCTCCAGGCAGAGCAGGCAACGGGGCCCTGGGGTTGGGGCAGCTGTACCTCTGCCCCTGCCACCAGGGAGCCTGTTGGTCTCCTCCTCTTCCACCTCGTCCTCATCTTCCTCGTCGTCGTCATCTGGCTTGTGGTCCTCGTCCTCGTCCTCTTCCTCCTGCTGTGCTTGCCCTCTTCCTGGCCGTGCGGGGATGCTTGTAAGCCTCAGCTACCCGGTATGGAGGACACCTGCTCTGGGCAAGCATCGCGCCCCCAACTCCTTGGCCCTCCCCTGCCACCCTCAGGCCCCAGGGCAGCCTACCTGGTGTGGCCTCCGGCCCCTGCACACCCTGCTCACTGTCCTGCAGCCGAGTGTGCCCTGGCACACTAGTTACAACAGCAGCTGCTGTGGGCTGGCCCTTTATGGTAGCCCCTCCCCGCACCCCACATAAACAGGAGCACAGATGTTTGGGGACTCTTGGGGTCCCAGACCAGCTTCCATCCACACCGCTCTGGGCTGGGGACTCCGGCCTCATCCCCTCCTTCTTCCTAAGCCCCTGCTGGGGTTCCCTGGAGGTCCCCGTGCTCCAGGACTGCACTCACTGCCCCCTCACCGCAGGGTTACCCTTTGCCCCGCACCTGGCTGTCCGCACAGCAAAAGGGCAAGCAGGAGAGCCCTGAGCACCTTCATCTCGCCGACGCTGCTATGTCCCCGGCTCCTCGCACAGCACTCTGGAGCTGCGATAAGTGGGATGAAGGGCATTGCCGTGGGCTTCCCAGTGGCCCCCACCAGCTCCAGCCTCAAACAATGGGCCTCACATGGGTCCCAGCTCCAGGCGCCAGGCCAGGGACTGTTGTTTCCCTCCAGGACCTCTGGGGCTGGAGGGGAAGGAGAAGTCATTGTGGTTGGCCTTGGAGCGTCCCGTGCACCTGTGCCAGCGGTTGGAAGGCGGTGCTGGCCACAGGAGCTGCTGGCCCTGGCCTGCCTTGCTGCTCAGTGCCTCAGCCCTGTAGTGCAGGGCAGGGAGCCTTGCCCCGGATTGGGCCATGCCTGACACCCTCTAACCCCATGTCTGGGCTCCATAGTCACAGGAGCTTGGGGTCACAGACCCTCTATTTGCTGATCACTGGCCAAGCATCTTCATTCCAGAGTCAGCATCACACCCAGGCCCCTTTAAGAGCATTTAAATAAAAACACAGCCAGTGCCCTCAAGCCAAGGCTGTGTGCTCACCTCCTCCTCACCCACACTCATCAGTGCACTTGCTGGGCCCAAGGCCTCCCGCACTATCACCTCGGGTCTTTGCCCCTGCTGTTCCGTCTGCAGTGCTGTTCCTGCTGGTGTCCAGTGGAGAGCTTTCCGGAGCTGTTGGGGGCCCGACCCTTGGCCTTCTGCTGGGAAAGCCATCAGCCCCCACCTGACTTCTGACCTTGTGTGAGAGACAGGCTGCTCTGGGAGAGGCTTGGAAAGCCCAGGTCGCTCCCTGAGGCCACCCTCTCCTCCCAAGCCCCTGCCCAAGCCCCTGGGGGTGGGATGCAGAGGGCAGAGTCTCCTGAGGGTAGCAGAGGGGTGGGGCAGCGGCAGGGGCTGGATGGGAGTCTGGAGCCAGGGTCAAGCCTGGGCGTCTGTGTGCCTTGGTGCTTGGGTCAGGCCCTTCACCTACTGAGGCCTCAGTTTCCCCGACTGTCAATGGGTGGGGTGGGGCTTTCTGGCCGGCCACCTGTAACAGAGGTTGAGTTGGTTCTGGAGTGAGCTGCCTGGGTTTAAGACCCGGTTCCTCCTTCCCCTGGCTCTGGGTCCTGGACGAGCCCCTGGGGTTCCCCAGGCCTCAGCTCCCTCATAGGGTGAGGTGACCATCAAGGGTCAGTACCTGCTGGGCTTAGGACAGCACCTGAGGCTGGGAATATCTGTCTCTGATGTCTCAGCCACTGAGTCAACCATCCCTCCTTAATTCACCTGAACCTGTCATTCTTCCATTCTTCTCTATCAGCACCCACCCAGCATCCAGCCCTTCCCTGTCCAAGGCTGCAAAGTCACTTTCCAAGCCAGGGTCTCCCATAGCGGTGCTCATGCCACAGCTGGACATGCCCCGCCAGCCCCAAACTCTTCATACGTGGTGCTTGTCCCCCCAGCCCTGCCCCTCCCTGCCCC